CAGAATTGTTGCATCCTGCGTGCTGAACGCACTCAACGTGGCTTTACAGCTGCCCTGAGCGCCAGTTGCGCAGGCGACGGCAATTAGGCAGAGCGCAAACAATTGACGTTGCATTTTCTTGCGATTATGTTTTAATTTAAAATACGAAATACAGCGACAATTTGAACCCAATCGGCGGCCGAAACTTTCTATCTCTTTCAACGCCACGACAGCAAACGTCACTTGACAGCCGACGGCGACGAGACGTCAGCAGCAAACGTCATTTTTCAACATTATTAACGTTTTAGTGTTGCCGGATCGTCTGAATTTACTCTGCGCTGACTCTAAAAAGCTGCTTGCTATGCACGTTATATGGCAATCAGCTTCAATACAGCTGCGACTAGTTTTAAATTGTTTGGCGGTAAAATAACGTATATTGATAACAAAATAAATATACAAATTGATGGATTGAATAAGAATTTGCTTAAAGTAGAGATTACAAAATAAATTCAGAAAAAAACTAGCATTTGTATTATATTTTTTACATTTTGTAAGCTTCCGAAAGGAATATTATTGTGCTTCAACAAATTTTAAATTTTAAATGTTATAACGCTTTGGAAATCTAACGCATTAAAAAAAATCGTCCAAGCTTAATGCTTGTAATCAAACATAACATTATGATAATGAGGTCATTTATGTAATTAGATTATTATTTACTATGCTAGCATTTTCCTGATTAGGAATCCGCGCCTATTATATTGGTTATCCACGGTATGAAGCTGGCAATGTTTGTGTAGACGGCTGGAAAGCCGCTGCCACAGCTGCGGGCACCATAGCTGACAATGCCGAACTGGACAAAGCGTTGTCTGTTCGAATATATGGCTGGGTATGACAACGGGCCGCCGGAGTCGCCTCTGCAGGAATCGCTCGTGAGTGCCCCGGCACAGAGTTGGGTCTGTTTGATTTCCCGGCCGAACGAGTTTGAGCACAATCGGCGAGTCTGTGTATCGATGGCCGTCTCCAGCAGGACATCGGATTCGAAACGATACTCCGTGGTGCCCCAACCAGTTACAACAAAATTTTCATTCGATTCCGCCGTTTGCTGTAGCGTTGCATTAATCGGCAAGCAAATGGGCCTGATGTGTTCTACAAGCAGCGAATTATTAAGAGCCAAACTCAATACTCAATACTCACGCTTGAACTCCACGGGGCGGGCCAGCTTGATCAGGGCTATGTCATTGTGGTTCGTTCCCGGCAGGTAGTCCGCGTGCTTGAACACACGCTCCACGTCAATGTCCTCAACGGGCGGCAAGCATCGGATGGTTTTGCCCGCTGGCTTGCAGTCCGTTTCCGTAGACAATTGATGCTCGCCCAAGCGCACGGATACCCTGTAAATTGCAATTGTAGCCAATGTGTAACATTTGAATTTCTCATGCTTACAGTTCGTATCGCGTCAAGCAGTGGGCGGCGGTCAGTACGAAGCCTGCGTTTAAATTAGATTTCATTTTAGTTCCTCTCAAGAGATCCTCGATCCTCGATCCTCGATCCTACTTACGATCGGTTATGAGTGTCCCGGCGCACGCAAAGGCCTCGTTTTCTCCATGACGTAAGCGGAGCAGGCTCATCCAAGGCCTGGAGCCCAGGGCAACTTCGTGACCATTTGTTATTCTTATCGTTAAAAAGCTGCCGCACTTTTGCGCTTCCAATATCCGCAGTCCATTCGCCTCGTCAGCCCGCACACAGAGCTGAGGATTGCACTCAGATATTGCTTAAGTCCGCAATTGGAAGATCCCTACTACTTACAGACTGGCTCCACAGGATCGTGCACAGGATCAATAAACTGGAACGCATTTGCATCACGTTGAATGCACTCTCGGCGCGCGACTAATGGAGATTCGCATTTGTTGTTACCCCTTATAGGCACAATCAGGAGCATGAGAGCTTATCACGTTTTGTGGGTCAAATGTAATAATAATCAAATACATGTATATATATACCTGTTTGATAACCCCTTAATCATTCTTAACAACATCAAACATATAGCCAAAGGCTGAGAATAGGGCATCGAATGTGTTGGAGAAGATTTGCATTTTCAAACGCGCGGAAAGTGGGTGGAAAAGTGATTTTTAAATTTAAAGATGGGCAACGCCGGGCAATATCGGCATTGTAGGTTCTCTTATGCATATGCATGTGTATTTATGTATGTTTGCATGTTCTCTTCAATCCATCTCAGACAAATTTCACTTCCCGATGCGCTGCCAATCAAAACAAGACGGCAGTCTCCGTCTGGGAGATACTTTGAGCCCCTTTTTCCCTTAACCTCTTACTACGGGAAATGATTAGGGGCTTAACTTCGGTGCTTTTTGTGCGATTTTTATTATTTTTTATTGTTAAGCCATAAATATGGCTTTCAAATGTGTGTAAATACCAAAGCCATAGAGTAAACCTTAAACATTTGTTTTTTAATTTTTTTGGAGGAATTGTATAATTTAGGAGAGTCTACATTCCGAATTTGGTACCTCTAGCTCTTAAGGTCAAAAACAGTATTTCGTTATAGGTTTCTAACAAATTTAAATGGTAAATGAAAGAGCAAACAATAATGTGAAGAAAACTGGACGAGCAGTTACGTTCAAAATTTTTGATAGACGGACATCTTTAATCAATCGGGCTGTTAATGCTGAACTAGAATATATATGCTTTTTGAAATTAGATATGCCCAATTCTGTCTGTCTATTTGAACTAAACCATTTTAATTTTTTTTTGTTAGCGAATTTAAATAAATTTAGGGTACAAAAACGTATTTGGTAAATACTGCCCTTCTATGCAATTCTCATGACTCATGACTCAAAAGACTTGCAGCTGTTCATGCTTTGATAACATGCTCTGCTTTTGCTCTCCCTCTGTCTCTCTCTCTTTCTCTCTCTCTCTCAATCCATCTCTTTCGTTTTCTCTTACACACCCTTTCTTATTGTATTTCTATTTATTTCTCCTGCCTTGACTCTAGCCCCTTCCATTCAACGAATCATTTTCTATGCGACAGCAGTATTTCTATTGTATTAATTATATTGTTACAATGAGTTGAATAATAGGGAATAAAAGTCCTGCAGGGTAACTCGTAGCCAGTCACTTTTCATGGCAATCGTCAATTGAAATAGTTTTGGGATCTCGGCCGGGCAAACCGGGCAAACCGGGCAAATGTGGTGCCTGCTCGTACCGGCTGGTATTTTGACACCGCCTGACAAATATGAATTTATTTAGCGCCGTTTGTTTAGCTCATTTCTATTATAATTGACTCGAGATTGCGAAAAGCGAAAATGAATTTTCCTGCCAAAATCGCCGGCAAGAGAAAAGTGCTGAGGGAAAGCCCAATAAATATCGACTCGATATGATTAATGCGCCTCGGGCTCGACTCGACTTTCCGTTTTGTTTTAAGTACTCGCAATGATTTTCGGCTGCAATAGAATCTATTCGAATATATATCGAAATACTCGCATGGACGGGAATATATGAATGGCATGTGACCCTGAAATGGGCTTGATTTGGTGCTCGATGCCATTTGCTGTTTGTTACCTGTTTCGTTTCGTTTTCGTTTTTTTGTTGCTATTGTTTCTACTACCATGTGGCCCATCCCCATTCCCATCCCGCCCAGCTCCGACTCCCTTCCAGTTATGTTCGTTACTTTTTGATTGCCAGCGTGCACGACAAACTTTTTATACAACTTTGCATGTCTTTGATGAATTTGAAATTGTCACAAATGTGAAAGTTTTGCACTTGCCATCAGATATTCGTACTACTCCCCCCCCCTCCCTTTACTACTCCCCCTCTCTCTCTCTCTGTTGGAAATTTGCATCTAACATTTGTTGACATTGAGCGACTTGCACGAGTTGACTTCACGCACTCTCGCCCGCCGGCCATTCATTCATGCATTGGGTCCGTTGTTTTGGCCAGGATACGCACTGCGATATCTTGGGTAAATATCGTAATCCTCTCGGCCCATTTGATAGCATTCAAAGTGGGCGTGTGCCGGGCGATATACCATATTCGGCAGGCGTCGAAATGAAAACAAAAGTTCGTGCGAGTTCATTGAGTTGGCAAAACTTGCCAGTCAGCCAATCAGTCGTAAATCCTGACGAGGGACGATTCACGAATACCCGACAAAGGATGAAAAGGATTAGAAGCATGAGATTATGCAATCGAAATCAAAGTTAAGTCTTATGTCAGGTCAGTTACGATCTTTTATTAAAAAACTCATCAGAAATTGTATCCTAAAGTGCTTTAAACTAATTAATTATACCCTGCAATGGGTCAAAGGGGTATAATGTATTTGTGCAAATGTATATAAAAGGCAAAAGGAAGCATAAAGTATATAAAAAGTATGTATATTCCTGATCAGCATCAATAGCCGAGTCGATCTAGCCATGTCCGTCTGTCTGTCCGTCCGTCTGTCCGTCTTTTCGTCCGTATGTATGAACGCAAGGATCTCAGAACCTATAAGAGCTAGAGACTTGCAATTTTAGCTGTAGGTCCTCCTAGTCCCCTCGCAGCACGAGTTTGTTTCCGATAATCGATAACTTGTCCCGCTTCCAAGCAATCGATAAGAATCGATATCGAATTCCTGCTTTGTTGAGCATATCTCGTTGGTTTTAAAAGCTAGAGCCACCAAATCTGACCCGAAGCTTCCAGTATAGCATATACGGATCATGTATTTTGATTTTTTGGATACCGCTGCCCCACTTCGGAGAAATGAAATAAATGAGAACTCTAATAGGAGCTGGCTGTGATACCTTCAGGGCAGCCCTCGTTGCGGCGTTGCCTGCACGTGTGCGCTCCGGCGGAAATGGGACAAACAGTTCAGTAGGAGTCAAGCCGAGCGACAGCCGAGCCGCTGCACCGCTGGCGATGGCGCCGCTTCCAGCACGGATACGGATACGGGAGTGGGTGCTGTTGCGGGTGTGTCTTGGTGGAGGGGGGCGTTAGCAACGCCCGTGCCGCCAAGTTGTTTGTCGGTTTGTTGACTTGTTTGCTTGTTTGTTGGCAACATGACGAAGCTGCTCCCAGCGGGCGCGCTTCATTCACAAAACGCAGTTGGCGCGCGGCAGGCAGACAAAGTGGACGTGGAAGTCACAGCCACCCGGTGCAGAGCCCGAGCTGGAAACGGGAACCTGAGGCGGCGAGGCGGAGGATCCTGGCACCTGGCCATAACAATTGCAAATTAGCTGCAAGTGAAAGTTGACGTCAACTCAAGTGGCAGCCGGCGCTGGTTCGTGACTGGATTTTGCTTTCGATCGGGATTTCGGCCCAGCTTGTGGGTTCGGCGCCTTTGTTGACAAAGTTATTGGCTGGGCTATTGCCTAATGGCAAAGTAATTGATTTGCATTCGATGTGGATGCGGCAATTGATTCTCTGCCGAAACGTTCGCACAGCAGTTGGCTTTCAGCCCTCAAACGGAATACCACACACTCCTCCTGGCCATGTCGTTGTCCGTGGCAAGCCGCCGTCGCTACCAGACGACAACAACGTCGACGTCGTCGTCGACGTCAACGGCGACTGCGTCGTTGGCCGTGCGCAAGCAGCATTCCCTGATGGAGCCGGCCAGCCACGCCCATGGGGTAAGCAGATATTCAGCCCAGCAGCGCGGTTATTTGACGCGCGGCCTCTCCGTCGGCCGCTCCATTGAGAACATCCGCCAGAAGCTGTACGCGCCCAGCCCGGCGGTCCGCCTGAGTCGCCAGACATCGCTGGCCCTTGACGAAACCGCGGCCAGAATGGCGGGCCGGCTGACGCCCTCACAGGCAGACCTTGGCATTCGATTGAGGGACAAAAGCCTGGTGGCCTGGTCATCAACATCCTCACTGCAGAAGACGCCGCTGGCCGGTGACGGTGGCCAGAAGCAGCGGCTGCCGGAGGAGCAGAAGGAAGCCCAAACAGAGACAGAAAAGTGAGTCAATTACTGAGCACCATTTCCAGTTAGGGGTACACAATTTCCTGGGGTACAACAATTGGAAGTGCTCTAGTCGGGCGTGGAGGAGATGCCCAGAACGGAGCTGGCGTTACGTATATTCCAGCTTCCTTCCAATACAGCCTCACAATTAATATGGCATCCAACTGTGTGTATAGTAATTATAACAAGGAAGAGCGACAATCTTCGGCACGCCGGAGAAAAAATACCCTTACAGATATGCAAGGAGCAGTGCAAAGCTTTGTGAAGTTATCTTGGTAAACTGAAAGATTTTCGACCGAAACGTTCTTTTACGCCTGAACTGTGTGTATATTATAAGAGATTTGTTTAAATATTGGGGGAATAGGAGGTCTATCCAAAAAGCTACATATTTCAAGGATTATACTCTTTTTTCTATAGAAGAGTGTGTACTTTAAGATAGCCTATATACATCGTTTGGGGTATCTGGGGTATCTTGGGTATCTTAACAACTTTCAAGTTACCTTTATAATCTTTTGCAAGGAGGGGTATCAAAAAAATGGTGACTTGTTATACCCTTGCAGAGGGTATTATAATTTTGTCTCAAAATGTATAACGCATAGAAGGAGACATCCCCGACCCCATAAAGTATATATATATTCTTGATCAGTATCAACAACCGAGTCGATATAGCTATGTCCGGCTCTCTGTTTCTATGCGAACTAGTCTCTCAGCTTTAAAGCGATCTTCAAGAAACTTTGCAGAAGTGCCTCTTTCTGTTACACGCAGAACATATGTCGGAACCAGCTGGATCGGACCACTATATCATATAGCTGCCATTGGAACTATCGATCAAAAAGTTGGTTCTTGTATAAGAAACTTTTCTGTTTGTCAAGATATCTTGATTGATATATATGCAAATCCTATCAACATCGCACCACTTTATCATATAGCTGCCATAGGAACGATCGGTCGAAAATTAAGTTGTTGTATTGAAAACTTTTTTGTTTTTCAAGATATCTTGACCAAAGATAGCCTTTCTCGTTTAACAATGCGTTCAGAGTATAAGTGTGCATTGAAATTAATTGTCATTCATCCCGATCAAATATATATAGAAGAACTTTATTGAGTCGGAGATGTCGTCTCCTAAATATGTGTGACACATTTCGTGACAGCATTGTAATACCTTTTGCTAGAATATAATTTTAGCACTATTTTTAAAAGTCGAACATCTACTAGTTTATGTTACTCGTACGACTTAATATTGTTAACGTAGATACTTACAAGCAATTAATCAATAACAAGAGTTCGATTAAAATGACACAACATTATAAAAAAAGCTGACATCACAAAGTATTTTTATAAGAAAACATCAAACTCACAATATATTACTTTCATTGAGTTGTTTATAGATGATTGCTTTCATTTTATGGCCAAAACATTGTTATCAATTGTCGTTAGAAAATTGGGTTTCGGCTTACACGAAACTAATTAATGTTTGCTTTACTACGCAGTGCTTTATGATTTTTGATAGATTTCGACTTAATTAGCTATAGCTATAAATAGCTATACACTAGAAGTGAGATTGGTATTTATACCCTTAATATGCAGCTCCGTTTATATTCCTGATCAGAATAATGTCCTGTATCGATCTAGCCATGTTTGACTGTCTCTCTGTTTCACATATGGTATATACCAATTCAAGTTTATATTTCTTTGTCAATATGTAAAACACAGATTTGAAGACTTGATTTCTTAATCATGAAATTAGATTTGGGTAGACTCTCGTATATGGAGTATTAACAGAATATAAATATTTCGCCTCCATTCTCTTAAATTTTGAAAAGAATCGCATCCTTAAAGTTAGTTCTGGTACATGCACATATTTGGTTGCCATGAAGATCGGACTATAAACACCGACGCCAGCCACAGCGTCAAAAGAAAGCTTGAATGATTTGAAGACAAATTGTTCTATATATATTTTATATTTGTATCAGCAGATGTGAAGTATATATAAATGCAGAACATTTAGGGATCGTTGTGCGATTAGATTCTTCAAATGAATTTTGCTCGTACACATACATAAATCATAATAATGACTGACCCACATTACGAATCCATAGGCCTGTCGTTATCAAAATCTGCACCCAGTAAAATATATTATTGATCTTAGAGAACAAAATTATGATATAGTAGCCTGCTGTCGATAAGATTAGGCTCATAAGTATGTAAGGAGCATGGTGAAAACAATTGAAAAACGAGAAAGAAGTGCTATCTTCGGCACGCCGATGATTTAATACCCTTGCAGAACCAACGTTCTCATAATGCTCATAGTGCTTTGTCCTTATCTAAGAAGGACAGCAAAAGTAGTTAATGCCTAGTATGGTTAAGATGTCTTGAAAAATAATAAAGTTTTCCATACAACTTAATTTTCAACCGATCGTTCCTATGGCAGCTATATGATATAGTGGTCCGACATATGTATTGCGTGGAACTGAAAGCGGCCCTTCTGCAAAGTTCTATAAAGATAGCTTTAAAACTGAGAGATTAGTTCGCATAGAAACAGACAGACGGACAGACGGATATGGCTATATCGACTCGGCTGTTGATACTGATCATGAATATATATATACTTAATGGGGTGGGAGATGTCTCCTTCTGTGCGTTATACATTTTACGACAAAATTTTAATACCCTCTGCGAGGGTATAACAAAAAAGTTCTTCATATAAAAAGTTAATCTTCGACCTTTCGTTCCTAAGGCAGAAATATGCCATCTTAGACCGATTTGAGTAAAATTTTACTCATATGACAAACTTCCAAAAAATGTATCTTTACAAAGAGCCAGACATCGAAATCGTTATTAATTTTCTAACAAACTGCTTTTAAAAAATTTAATTAATTTAATTTAAATTGTATAAGTCAAATAAATTGTTGCACCCACATTTTTAGAAGTTCCTGTAAAAATCATGTGCATACAAATAATCTTGATTATTAGGGATTTCTTTAGATATCTGTACATACATACATACACTCACACATACATACATATGTATATATGTATACATATGAGGAAAAGTTGAAGAAGTTTAGTTTGTATGCAAGAATGTCAATTATTGGTTTGACCTTGTCAAGTTTGCAGCTCCACATGCGTAGAGCTTATTAACATATAAATGCATATTTTTATATTCGCATAAAACGAGCTGGTTCCCCTTTACTCCCCCACATCCCCCCTCCCACCTCCAGGTGCGCTTGCTAAATAAATATGCCTAAATGACACTTTCGATACTTTTCGCAATTTGCATGCTTGACGCCGACATCAATGTTTTCTATGTATGTGTGCAGTGCATATGATTAGGCGGGCGCAAACACACGGCTGACATGCGGGCCCGGATCCGGGCCGGGCCTGGAGACGTGCTCGAGTACGGGCCGCCTTACATGTCACTCATGCACCGCGTCGCGGCACAGTTAAGTCGATCATCAGGCGAGCGGAGTGATTAGATAGCTGTGACTGTAACTGTAACTGGAGCTGGAACTGGAACTGGTTCATTGAACTTTGGCCGGAGTCAAACAACACAATTTTTGGGCGCGAATTGTAAATGTAATTGACATGGTTTCGTTTTCAAATTCGAATGCACACAGTCAGACAGACGGACAGACTGGAGAAGGCACTGCAGGAGCTTTGCGTGAGGAGGAGGAGTAGGAGGAGGAGGAGTAGGAGGAGGAGGAGGAGGAGCAGGTGGGCGAGGTTTTAGGCGTTGCCGCCTTCACATTTGCACGAATTAATTTCTATTTCGGGTCGCAATGTTGCATGTGGAATCGAGCACAGCATAAATTGCAAACTAATGCCGAATAATTTGATTTAAATTTAGCCTAGCCCGAGTAGGTCACTCGGTCAGTCAATCAGTCAGTCAGTCAGTCAGTCAGTCAGTCAGTCAGTCAGTAAACACTCATGTGCTGCTTTGATCCCACAGCGCCAAGGCGGACAAGAATCGCATCAATCTCAATATTGTGCTGGCGCAGACAATACGCGCCACCAACGAGCAGGAGCCCAGCCACAGCGACATTGACAGCGCCACGGAGTGCAGCGAGCTGGTCAAGGAGCAGAGCACAGCAGCTAAGCCGACCACGAGTCCAGCTGCCACTGAGGAGAACGTCGCGTCCGCTTTGACCGTTCAGCGGCGTCCGCCCTTGGTGCGTGCCATGTCCGCTCCGGTGCGCATGGACGAGAGCAGCAAGAGCTCACTTGGCGCCGCCAGCAAGCGCAGCCAGCAGAAGCTGCGTAGGCGCAAGATCTTCACGCGTGCCACCTCCTCGGTGGCCTCGGTGCCGCCCGATGCCAGCCCCATGCTGAGCACCGATGCCAGCGGCTCCAGCAAGAAAGCCCTCAGTCGCACGCGCAGTGTCATTGCGCCGGATGTTATTACCCTGGTGTCGCTGCTGAGCTCCGAGGGCAGCGACTCGGAGCGTGAGGAGAACTCCTGCGCCTCCAGCGAGAAACAGCCGCCGGCGACATCGCAGCGCAGTCCGCAGCGACGGGCGCCTCTGCTGCGCAAAACGGGCAAATCGGGTAAGTGCAGAGCTTACTTGAGCTCAAGGAAACTCCTTATTCTTAGTTATTCTTGATACCAGAGAAAGGACAGCTTTGGAAGCAGGGAAATAATTGCATTTTTACATATGATTTGACTATAAATAAAGTTTCTCACTGGGAGGGGAGCTACGTGAAGTTGATCTTACATTCCATCTTTGATTTCTTGAGTTGTTATAGTCACGGGAATAGTCGAGTTCATAGAGATAATAAATTGGACAATAGAAAAAATGGGTCAAAAAGAAAGATAAACTTCTTTCAAAGGTATTTCCAAAACTTTCGTTTTTTTTCATTAGATAAAAGATATTCACAATATAGTTAGAAAGAGAGGAAGGAGTAAAAAAGAGAGAGAGAGAGAGACAAATTAAGGGGCGCTGTTTTTTATATTTAATTATTTTTTTTATATATTTTTTTTAAATATTTTTTTTGTATATTTTTTTAAATTTTTTTTTATTTATTTTTTTATATATTTTTTTTATTTTATTTATTTTTTTTAATAATTTATTTTATTTATTTTTTTTAATTATTTATTTTATTTATTTTTTTTAATTATTTATTTTATTTATTTATTTTTTTAATTATTTGTTTTATTTATTTTGTATTTGCTAGGATCAGTCAGATGGACTAACTCTGTTTGCAGTCTCGTTTCAAGACAGCTATCCGCCCACCTTTCAACTGGCCTCCAAGGAGTACTCGCACATGATCAGGCGCGGATCGATTGCCCCGCTGGCAGCGCGCATTCGGGCCAATCGACCCCCGACCGCGCCGCCCGTCTCCATTTTCCTCAGTGAGCCTGGCAGCAAGTCGGGCATTCAGATGGAGTCGCGTCAACGACAGCAGCAGCAGCAGCTGCTGGCAGACGCATCCGGCTCAACTTCGGAGGAGGACAAGAAGGAGAACAACGCGGCCAACTGTAATGTACAGCAGCAGCAGCAGCAGCAGCAGCAGGAATACAATTTCCCGCTGTACGTGTGCAGCATCAAGGAGCGCGAGTGCTGGAAGCTGCATCAGAAGATGTGCGCCAAGGGCGTAAGTGTCAGCTATGATACCGTGCTGCGAGGCATGTTGACGCCCACGGAATTCCGCCAGTTCCAAAAGCAGCGCGAGCACGAGGAGGCCAGGGCCCAGGAGGCCGCCGATGCGAAGGCCGAGGCTGAGGCTGCCGTAGCTGGCGAGAAGGAAGTCAAGAAGACGCCAACAACGGCCATCGAACGCCTGTCCGAGTCCTTGCTGCAGCGAGAGTGAGAGTGAGAGGCACGGCAGAGTGGACACGGCCGAGGACAGGACCAAGTTATGCATTTGCCCTAATAAAACCCATTCAAGCCCCGCCCACGGGCAGATCTTCATACGTAGCAGTAGAGCGCACTCGTTAAACAGCCTCGCACCCAGCTGAGTCACAATCTCCGGATGCATCCTCGTAGTTGTAGTTGAACTAGAGTATCGGGAATCCGTGCTTGAAGACGCTGTGCTGGCCAATCGCAACTGAAATTAGCTGAAAACAATAAATTGTAGACACTAAACACAATTCCTTGGAGCAATTTAATTGTTTTATTTTTGATAAAAACTCGTATGCATATAAGTCAAAAGGTTAAAGGTTAAGGGACACTGTAAAGCCGATTACTCAAAGGTAAGCTGCAAAATTAAAAGGAATGAAAATGAAATAATTTAATCAAAGTCAATTAACTTTTTAGATTGTTGCGTTTTGAAGTACGACGAACGCTCAAAGGAATATTTTTTGTGTTCAAGAATTTCACGATGATTTCCTTCTTATCTGCGGTTCCCGAGAAATGTAGAAAAATAACTGTCATACTAGTTAGTATCTAGAACCAAGTTCTATTTATAGCTATAGTTTTATAGTTTTAGCTAGATACCGAATTGAGCGAGTCTCGTTTATCTCGATGAGAGGGCGGAAAAGTACTCCAGAGCGGAATTAAACTTGTCGTAATGCATAAATTGACTAGGGAATAAAATAGGCTCATGTTTGTATATATTTAACGGACTGACATGAGATCCATATTAGGTTTGAGATTAACTAGATGCTTGGTGGGAGATTGCTTAGTTCGCTTGGCGCGCGTATCGTATGGCCGAGGCCAGATAGCAGGCGAGGACTATGCCCAGGATCTGTATGAAGGCGATGCCGATGCCGACGCCAATCAGAATGACGGCGTTCTTATCGATGCGCTCCTTGAGCTTGCCGACGCAGCCCTCCTGGAAATACTTGTCCTTGCCAAGGGCCGGCGACTCCGTGCAATGGCCAACGGCGGCATCGATGAACTGCGGCTGGCAGCAGCTGGCCGGCAGCGTCTTGTTCAGGCTGAGGGCGCGCCAGTCGGCGGGCGTGTCCACGCCGCAGCACATCAGCTTGCGCTGGACGTTGTCCCAGGCGATGGTGTCCTCGCTGTTCGAGCGCTTAATCGACTCCTGCAAGGAGTTCTTCAGCATGCCCTCCAGATCCTTCTTGAACACGCTCGCCGCAATGCCCACGGCCAGCTCCACGATGAAGATGATGGCCAGCAGCACGGCGTACTGTTGGCAGGTAAGTAACAGGTAAGTGAGTGTGTGTGTTTGTGTGTGTGTCGGGTGTGTGTACGCACCGTTAGGAGCAGAGTGGGCGACTCCTTGATGGCGCCAAAGCAGCCCAACGAGGCAATGAGGAAGATGACCAGCCCGGTGACAATTAGCACTATTGGCGGCGCCAGGACGCGTCCCTCCACGAAATGGTTGAATTCATTGACATCGGCCAGGACGATGGCACCGGCCACCAGTATGCCGAGACCGGAAAGCTGCAAGGCAAATCAAACGCACATATAATTAAACAGAGCCTGGTCATCGATTTTCCTCAAGCAGCGGCCATTATATGGCCCATAACTAATCCATGGCACAATTTGTTTAATGACCCACCCAATCAAAACCTACGCATTTGCTCGTATGACTTGGTTTTCGTGTTTTTGTTTTTCTGTTTGCATTACTAACTCTAATTGCCTGATAAGGCATCAACTGCTGCCATTGCCATTGCCACTGCCACAACCTTAGCCAAGTCAATGGCATTTCCATGCCGTCATTTCTGTACTTGTTGTTGTTGTTGTTGTTGTTGTCGCTGCTGGTCAATGGAAAGGCCGAAGCCTTGTGGCATTGAAAATTGCGCTGCCTACTTTTGTGCGCGCCTAACAAATGCAAATTATCCACTATCCATTATCCACTGTAATTGATTTACTATCCCTTATCCACAATATATTATCAACTTTCCATTATCCACTCTATATTATCCACTGTATATAATCCACTATCATTTACCCACTATATATTATCTACTATCTATTATCTACTTTTTATTATCTACTATCCATTATCCACTTTATATTATCTACTATCCATTATCCAATATATATTATCCAGTGTCCATTATCCAATATATATTACCTACTTTCCATTATCCACTTTATAATATCTACTATCCATTATCCACTATATATTATCAACTTTCCGTTATCCACTATATTTTATCCACTGTCCATTGTCCATTTTATATTACCCACTATCCATTATCCACTTTATATTATCTACTATCCATTATCCACTATATATTATCCAATATCCATTATCCAATGTATATTACCTATTATCCATTATCCACTATATATTATCCACTATCCGCTACCCACTCTATATTATCTGCTATCCATTATCCACAATCCATTATCCATTATTCATTATGCACTATTCAATTATCCATTATCCGCTGCTTATTATCAATTATCCAATGCTGCTGCCATATAATTTTTCATATTTGTAAAGAGCAACAAACTACATTCAGTTTATTTACATTATTTAAATTAAACGTGATATTTTGCTGTCATATAGTTTAATAATATTTTTCAAGAGCAACTAACTACATGCAGTTTATTTAAATTACACGTGAGTTACTTTATTCTTAAGCACGCCATTTCATATAATGACAAGTAATGTTGTCATTTTTTATCAGTCATCATCTAAATAAGCAAATGCATATGTTGACCGTGAGTTAACTAAAACTATTAAAAATAACGAAGAGCGGCAATATTCGGCACACCGAAGATTAAATATTCTTTCTAAAACAGCCGATTTCATAGGGACTGGCAGATGTGCTATGAGAATTGTGAATTTCGTTATTTATAGAAGATGTTCAATATAAAAGTTAAACATGATTGATTTTCCCTATAATTACAACATGTGTATTTTAGGAGCACGGTATAAAATATTAATTGATAATACGAAAAGTTCTTCTAACAACAACTTAATGTTCGAGTTGTAAACCAAAATCGGAGCAGAAGAAATACTGATGCATATAAAAATTGTGGTCAGAGACGACTATGTCTCTCGACAGAATAAAATATCCTTTATAAGGTTATACAAATTTACTATTTGGGTTTAAATATTGACTATTCGGGGTAATCTATTGTATTATTGTTTTTGGTACACTAAACTGAATAACTAACTTTCACATTCCACGAGTATGTCTATAAATTTAACGAATTATTCAAATAATAAACTTAAGAGTTTCCAGGAGCTTCCATTGTCAAATCGAAATGTTGATTGGGTACATATTGTTGTGAATCATCATAATATATACGAAGCAGTTTGTCCTGACTGACTAATTCACAGACTAAACTGTAGAACAGCGCCGCAAGGTCGCCGGTTCAAATACAGCAGAAATTAAAATTGTTTTTATTTGTTTACTTAATTTGTTAATAATCACAAAGATAAGTACATTCATAATAATTGAGGGGCGAATGTATAGACACGAAGTGCTGGCAGCTGAGTTTTCCTCTTGTTATTAAATATTTGTTTTAAATTTGAACTTTAATCTGATATTTTACTAATTAGATAGGATAAATAAGGATTCAAAATGACGACTTAGTTTTCCTTAAAAATTGTAATTAAACATTCATTTGATTTGTATAATGTTGTGTCAAGCGGTAGCTGAGTACATTAAGAAAATAATCTGCTTTTATTAAGCAACAAATGAAATTTATTTTTCTTTATCTGCAATTCATGTTCGCTTTACTTAGATAAGAAATTTCAATGTGAAAATAATGCAATCAAAATCAAAACAAAATTTAAAAGAAGTTTTAAAGAAGTTAAAACTATTCCGTCATAAAAGCTAGAAATTTGTTTGGTAATTAGCTTAGCTAATTTAAAATTTTCTTTATTCCCTTTTCCTTTCCAAAGATCGGTGAACTTTTCACTTACCGCAAATAGCACATTGAAGGCAAACAGAACGTATTTGATCAAACTGGGGCCGCAGGAGCGCATTTTGATTCTCATTGAATAATCGAAAGTGTCCGGTTGCGATAAAAATAACCTGCCCAAGGCGTTTCGGTAGAGGGTATTCCAAAATTAGAGCACCGTCGCGTTGATGACCAAGGCTGATAAGTATGCTGGGATTTGGTTGTTTTGGGAGAGCTCGCGCGTCTTTTCGAAATGGCGTTGCGATTGGAACTGACCGCTGGCTGATGGCCAAGCTAATGATGTTGGCAACCAAGTCCGAGGTTTGTGTTGTGGCCACGGCGCGGCTGACAACCAACGGGAAACCAACTGCGGACCCAGACCCAAGCCGCCTTTGGTCATTACAATGAGCAAAAGCCAAAGTAAAAGTGAGTGAAAGTATTTTCGAGGAAACCATAGCCCGTTCATTGTGCCTATTCAGGCCATGCGATTAGGGCCTGGTCGATGCAATCGAGGGAGTGAGCTCCAGTCCGGCTCTTATGCCGTGTAACCCATTTTGTTGATTTACACGTAGGGCTCCTACGAAGGCCCCAACAACTTTGACCAGCGGCTGCGCCAAGTTCCCAGACGATAGCTCAGGCTTTCTGGGTCGTCTAGGGCTTCCGTAGGGGTGGGCACCGGGGAGGGCAAGGGGGAGGGCAACAAGTCATTGCACTCATTAGGCGCACTCGACAATCGTAAGGTGCACACAATGTGCGAGTACACAATACATACACAGGTGCGAGTTTACGAATTTACCTTAAGGTTCAACTGCTTGACATCGCAGACTATTTGCGAGGGTTGCCTATAGCCTTATCCATAACTTCGGGACTGTATGAATAACTCAAATCAATCTTTAATTAGTTCACTTGAAATTATAACTAAACAGAAAAAATATATGGATGGGGTTTCCTGAAAAACAATTAATTAAATAACTCCTGCTGATCAAGGAATATCAGGGAATATCTTACACAATCTATTAATTCGAAAGCCTTCTCTTCAATAAAGAAAGAAATGCTCTGTACTACAGTTAAAAAAATAAGTATATGGACAGGAGTTCCTGAAAAACAACCAACCAAATAACTCCTGCGGATCGGATCAAGGAATACCTCACACAATCTATTAATAGAGGCTTATTCAGATTCGTAATCCTTCTTCTTCTTGAAGAAAGATAGTTAACCTCTGTTCTACAGTGGAAAAATGAGGCAATATAAAGCGGGCTTATTACTGGGTAATCGACCCGCGGAGTGGGAGGCCAGGCCGACGTCATAATACTAAATAAATTGCGTGATTTCATGTGAATAACGGCGAAAGTTATAAATGCTATTCACGAAATAAATGCCAGACTGTGCGAATAATTAAAGTACGCTGGAATTCAAGTTGGCACCTAGAAGCATGCCAAACTCTGTCATCATCCCAGCAGGCTTTGGGTTGATTTTAATGTTGCGTGTTGGCCTCTTTGTATTTTTGTCCAGGACACAAGTGTCCAACGGTGCTTGGCAATTTTCTTGGGTCAATCTGCTGGCTCCTGCTTATCGGGTCGCAGAAATCTCGGCTGTGCTGTGGAATTTGGCAATGTTTATGGGTCATGAGAGTGCCCGAAATGAAGTTAGTTTTTATTGTATGGTATATAACAATTTTCGATTTTATTTCCAATGAACTTCTCAGGCGATTTACAAGCAGTTTAGTAGGTAGGTGCTCTTAATGCAATGTGGAGTATTTGAAAAACATTTAAGTACTGTATGGAATACGATATGAGTGTGGATTAGTTAACATTTTAAAGTATTACTCCGTCACATGCCGCCCCTTCACAGTCCGCGTGCAATCAACAGACCGACTACGATCGACGCAATGGACAAGGATTGAGGCAGTGTTCCGGCGCCGTTGTCGCGGCAGGGCCATTCATCCACATCCGACCTATAAGTAGAGTTAGGTAGTTATACTAGTTGCGTATTGGCCAACGGAGAAGGGGGCGGGGCAGGACAGAACACAAACACAGAATCACAGATAGTACGGATATGCGTATGGATAGGGATGTCGCAGAAGTGGATATATAACATGATCGTGAGGCTGATCGTGCGGCACGTAAAATGTGGGCTGATTTGCTGGATGACGAGTTCTGTGCAATGCGGATGCTTCAAGTACTTGTTGTTGTTCATGTTGTTGTTGTTGGTGTTGTTGTGCTGTCGGCTGTTCGTATGAGGCAAGCGTGCTGCAAAAACAAAAGCAGGCCCAGCAGAAAGTGGAGTAGATTGAGGCACATGAAGTTGAGAGTGTGAAAAGTAGTGAAGGAATGTGGCTAATGGATGAGCTAGATGAACTGTTAGCTGGCTTCGATCACAGGTTAAGCAAACACAATTAGTCGAATTGGATGGCTTTTCATTAGCATGGAACATTCTGTGGTGGCTTTTCGTTAGCATGGAACATTCTACGGCCTAATCAGGTTAGTATCAAAATAAGTACATACAAAGCGCATATTGTCCTAGCCACCCTTCAAGCCAAAACTCAGCAATAGACGTTTATTTAGGCCTACACTAATATTAATGACAGGCACACACACATGCACACATGCACATACACGCACAGATACAGCTACTTAGAGGGAGTAAGCCGGAAATAGCCAGTCATTCAATATTTTATATAGAAACTATGTGAATGTATGTATAATAAATGTGGCGGATGATGAGAGAGGGCGAGTGTGTGTATAACAGTTGTAGTTAAATTTACAGTTAGCATTACAGAGAGTACAGTGGTAAGAACACAATAGTTTATTAGCTGACACAAATTAGAGAAGTTATTTATATAGATGTCTCTATATCATATCATATCTCAATTGAGTTCATTTACGAATTGCTCTGATAAATAGACGGTCATTCAATATTTTATATAGAAACTATGTGAATGTATGTATAACAAATGTGGCGGATGATGAGAGAGGGCGAGTGTGTGTATAACAGTTGTAGTTAAATTTACAGTTAGCATTACAGAGAGTACAGTGGTAAGAACACAATTGTTTATTAGCTGACACAAATTAGAGAAGTAATTAATATAGATGTCTCTATATCATATTATATCTCAATTGAGTTCATTTACGAATTGCTCTGATAAATAGACGGTCATTCAATATTTTATATAGAAACTATGTGAATGTACATATGTATAACAAATGTGACGGATGATGAGTAGGCATGTGTATAACAGTTGTAGTTAAATTTACAGTTAGCATTACAGAGAGTACAGTGGTAAGAACACAATAGTTTATTAGCTGACACAAATTAGAGAAGTTATTGTTTATATGGAGACATCAATTGAGTTCATTTACGAATTGCTCGGATATTTACTTAATGCCAATAACCCCGCAGGCTGCAAAGAGAAAGGTTAAGAGTGAGTATTTCAGAATGGTCGAGGAGTATATTGATGTACGCACCAATACGGCCGCCCGCGTTGCCGGTCTTCTTGGAGTCCGTGTGGTTGCCCAGACCCAGATCGTCCTCCAGCTCGTGCAGAACCACACTGCGTCCGATAATGGTCCGCTGGCCATTTAGGCTGATCACCGAATCCGTGTAGGTGATGTCGATGGTCCGGCTGGCGTTGACGTCAATGTTGCCCAGATCGCCGACGTGACGCACCTCGTGATGCGGTGCGCCATGGTCAACCTTGTCGGGATTGTAGTGTCCGCCCAGGCTAGTGCATCCGTTGCTCAAATCTCCCTTCTCGTGAATGTGGAAGCCGTGCTTGCCCTCCATCACGTTCTCCAGCTGGATACGCACATGGACGCTCTGGCCGCAGTCGTTCTGGATGAAGGTCACGTTGCCCTTCACCTGCGTGTTGTCCGACTGCAAGGGTCCGGTCAAATAGGCAATCGCCTCCATGGGCGTGTTGCGCTAAACATGATCAGAACAAATATAAAAATTAACCTTTGGATGTATTGTTAATCTCTCTGCTTGCACTTACCGTTTGGGCGCCGGCACTCAGTGTGGCGCAGAGGGCCAGGCTGATGGTCAGAAGTTGCAACATCTTGGGCTGCAAGTCAAAAAGCGATAAGATTGGCATTAGAGGAATCTCTGGGATGAGACTGTTGTTGGATTATGCTAAGTACGAACACACAAAACATTCGCATATCTCATTTGCAGTTACGTCAGATAACCCAAGTCCGACAGCGCTACCTTGATCTATGCCCGTAATCCCGCCTCCCCCCACATGCCACCTTTACTTGCCGCACAAATCGGTAGTTTTTATTCAATTGAGAGACGAGCGCACTCTGATTACTACATACACAAAATCATCCGGCTTTTTGGAAATACTAAATTCAGAGATGATCTCTATATATATCAAATCACTGAAAGGAACGATCACTGATATAAATATATATTATGTTATATAAATTTGCTTGTCTATACTTGACTAAGTCTAGGCTAAGTCTAGACCCAGATCCAATTTGCTTATCCTTGAATATCATGTATAATAATTTGTAAAATAAGATTTTCCTTGAGCGATATTTTCTATTATGTGATATTGTAAATTTAGAAAAAATTAGAATTTATTTATTTATTTATTATTTAAAAATTATGTTTTAGGGGATAACTAAATTGTATTTACCATATGACTATAAAAAAGTTAAGTTAAGCCGTAATGGGTGCAAAATATATTATTTATTTATTTATTCAGGAATGTTAAGAATTGAGAAAAACGTGATTCTAAGAGAATTAATTTAACTAACTTGATAGATATGCATAGGTATTTTCCTATATTTAGCTGATTATGGATTAAATATTTGTTAAATGAAACTCTTGCACAGGAATGTATATATAGTAACTATATTATGGCATATTCCATAATAAATATTACATATCTTATTATATTTTAGGGAATTATGTGTACTGTTATTTATTTAAGATCGCGCATCTCTATCAAAGCGCCATCAGCTGTTTGTGCGCTCGGAAATGTTGCATTGCCGTGTGTGCGGAATTGAAGCGTCTAACCTCAATTTACAATACGATTTGTGGGTCATGCACTATATATATATATATGTATATATGTTTATTCTATGTACAAGCAAATTAATACAGCCTTTTTCACAGGGTTAAGTGCGGATGGCCAACAAGTTGCCGTTGCCGTTGCCGTTGCCGTCGAAGGCCAATCAACAATCTCTTTTTGTACGCACTTCTCAATTAATTTATGACTGCGCATTACTTAATGAAATGTCTGAGATGTGTATAGTTTATGGCTTGACACATTTTGGGGGCAATTAAATATTTGATTATTTTCTTTTATCTATGGCTTATCACGGCCCGCTCAGCAGCATTTACGCAGCCCGTACTTGCCACTTTAACTGGGTTGCACGTTATAAAATTGGCGATGATCACGCTCAGAAGTTATTTGCCCGGACTTCAATCTCGTTCTCGGCACGCAAATCGATATTCTCACGGATAAGATAAGTGTTAGTTGGGGCCTGTTGTTCAGTCTAGGTGCTCGGGTCTACTGAGCGCGTTGTATTTACCTAAATTGT